TATACTTAATTCGTTTATTAATTTGTGTCTAACGAATCATGTTGTATTCAGCTCGTGTCGTATATAATTGGTATATAAACGAATCGTGTCGTGTATTTCTTTATGTCGTGTTAACGGATCGTGTCATATTTAGATACCCCTAATCTTTGGGTTGAAATGTTCTTAAAGGGTAAATCTTATATCTTAAATTTGTTTCATGCCAAGATATACGCGACTCGTGTTCGATCAATTTATAGCCCCATTTTTTATTGTGTATAAGTCGTGTTTACTGGGCCAATGATGTTGCACTGCTGGACAGATCCACCCTTTTGTTCACAATGATGGAGAACCTAAATGGGCTAGCAAAGTGTTATCTTGGGCTTGGTTTGGGAATTTTGGTTAATGCCTCAAGCCTAGCTTCACTTATAAAAACCCAACGCAAAAAATTCCGTAAATACTTAATTGGAGAACATAATTAATAATTTAATTTAATGTAAATATTGAATTATTTGTAAATTCTAATGTTAAATGAAACCTACTTTTAATCTAACAATGTTAGTTGATTATATTCCATCATTGTAAGCAATGATAGATGATCTAGGAAAGAGGCATGATCGTTGAATCTTTTAATTGTGTCAAATAAGATGGGTTTGTATTTAATTTTAACAGATTTGTGTTAAAAAATATTCTACCTATACCCGACTCGTTTTATTAATTCGTGTTTAATGAAACGTGTCATATTCAGTTCTTGTCGTGTACGAATTGTGTGTAACTAGTATGTAAGTGAATTGTATCGTGTATTTTTTTTGATTGATTTCACTCATACCCGATTTATTTATAAATTGTATATGATCAGATCCACTCGTTTGTAAAACGGATAATTTAAAAAAGACACAAACCCTGTAATCTGGTGTCACGTTAACGGTCCACTCGTTCTGGCATGAATTTGTGAAGTAATTCTTTCAATGTTAAAGTTTATACCCCCCAACTTCCAGCTATTTTCCCAAATACCCACTTAGATATCTAAAGAGTTGATCCCTCTCCCCTCTCTCTCTCTCTCTCTCTCAAGCCTAAATCTTGGGTCTGTTCTAGACCACTCATCATGTCATGTGCTGAGTGTACATCTCAGTAACATTTGTACTATTGTGGGATTTATGATCTTTTCTCCATGTTTGCTTGCTTTGTTTTTGTGATTCTTGTATTCTCTCTCTCTGACCCCTTTCTATGGTTGTTTTACTCTTTGCTTTTGATTTAATGTTTACCTAAACCCTTTCTTTTTTATCTTAGATTGTCTTGTATTGCCACCTGAACATAGAAAACAATCATATACTTTATATCTTTCTTTCCTTTTTTCAATGGTCTTGATATAACTTACGTACACTTCGATAAATTTTTTTTTGTCCGATTAAAGGCCGAAACTAAAGTATTCACGAGGGATAAATTCTTCAAGGTCTGGTCTTAAGCAATTGTCCAAATTCAAACTCAGGACGACTAAACTTACAGCTCGTCTCTATTATCACTTTTACTGTCCTCGGAGTTATATACTAAATTTATTATATATTCACACCAGCCAAATTAATTTTTTTTTTATGACCAAGAATTATTCCAAACATGCATCTTTTGGACTCGTGACTATTATATAAACTCCGGGTGTACGTAATCACACATAAACCACATGCATCATGTTATAAAGAATCTCCAACGAGACTCAAACTTGCGACCTCAAAGTATCACAGAAGTTTTGTCATCCGAAACTATATGAAGGGGGTGAATACAAGTTGATTTTTGTATGCAATGTCCAATCTTTTTTAGTGTACCTCACAAGTGTCTAAAAACTTCCTGTAGCAAAGTCTAAGCTCTGTGAAATGGACAAGAATCTCATAAATACAATGGAAGTAGAGGCAATAATACAGCATGTGAATTGGCAGTATATGTGATAGAGAGGGGACGCAAAAAGAATCTCTGCTGCAACCTGCCGTGAGATTTTTAGAGAGAGAGAGAGAGAGAGAGAGAGCATATCTGACAAAGCAGCACTCCCACCTTCATGTGTGAGTTATTCTACAATGAAGAATCTGCACTACAGACCACAAAGATAAAAATAGAGGAACTAAATAAGTATATGAATTTCATTGTGTTTTTAGTATAGGGTTGGGGGTCTTAGGCACATGGCAGCCACCCCTTAGCAAAAACATAAAATTGAGTCCACTTTTGCAGTACCAAATACACTATGGTTTTTTATTTTTATTACAGTGTATTCAGATTTGTGTCGACTACTTCCTCAAGCTCTAAGACCAATTACCGTAACTCGAATTAGTTTAAAAACATGTCTCATGAGAAACAAGGGTGACTGACTCCCAAAAAATAAAATTGATTGACCCTTAAAGAGTGTGAGAAACACCAAACTTGACATCTTATTTGTAAGAGGACAAACTTGACCACTAAATGATCTATAAGGGTTATACATTATGGTTGTTTGTTAATGAGATTTATCGGATATTAAATCACTAGCAATAATTTTGGGTCCGAATATATTTTGCAATACCAAAAACTGAACATTAGTCGTGCAATATTTATTTTTTAAATAATAATTAATTTAATTATATAATTTAAAATTAAAATGATTAGAGAGACGTAGAGGAAAGAGAAATCAGAATTAGGTGTAGATTAATAAAATTGTTTGACATTGAGGAGTGTTGATTGAATTGTCTGATATTGAAGAGTCGTACAAAGAAAGTAACGTTCTTAAGTAGGACAAAAAAAAATTAGAATGAATTTCGCACTATTAGATCAAAAGTAAAAAAATTGGATCAATATTGATTATCATTATATTTTTATAAATTAAAATTTTAACTTATTAATATTAAATACATAAAGTAAGAAGCACAATAATTAAACAATAAAGTAAGCAGCACAAATGTTTGACTTTTTTTACAACACTAAATTACCATAAAGTATCACCTCCTTGGTAATCACAATCCCATTTCCTACTCTTGATTACCGCAATCCAAAGTAGGCTCATAATTGGTTGCTTTTATGAGTTTAGTATTGTTAGATCATCTTCAACTTGGCTTTCTAAAATAGGTAGTTAAAATATATTTAAATATTATATTTTTTATTTTAACTAATTATTTTTATAAGTTCATTTCAATATACTCTCTATTTTAACTAATTATTTTACTCACATTTCACTAATTTTCAATAATTTAAAAAGAATACATCATATATAGAGAGAGATAGAGAGATAAAGCGATAGAAAATTTAGAGAGGTTAAATGACTCTCCACATTTGGAGAACCAATTGAGTCAAATGAGAAATAGAGAGTAAGTTGGAGAGTGATGATGTTATTAACACGATCGAACAAAGGAATGAATGTAAGGTGTACTAAACAGTTTGATTTAGTTCAATCTAAACTCCAAGGCTTTTGGAAATAAGATCTGGGAATAAGGGTTATCACACAGAGTGTTTATAATAGTTCACCAACTCAAGAGTTTGACTAATCTATTCTCAAAAGAATCTCTTACTCCTAGAAATATATTGATAACTGTGGAGTTTACAGAGATTTTTTTAGTGAAGATACAATTGCTTGTTGTTTTTGTCAAGGATTTTGCCTCTTATTTATAGTTATCCCTGGGCCTAGCTTAATCTGAGGCAAGATCGTTGCCCCTTTCTTGTAACGATCGTCTTTATTGTGCGACAACTGCGGTGGGTGTTGAGACGATTACGAGTCTTACACTTGATAAGTAACTATTGCTACTAAGGGGGTACTTGCTAGGATCTAGCTGTCGTCTGAACAACCTCCCTTGAGACGCAGACACAGGGAACTTGAGATCTAAAGTCAAGGTCTGCAAATAACCTAAATGAACTGAGTTCCTGACCTGAGATAGTATGCCCTACGTTACCAAAACTTAACCTTAGACATATTTGAGGTACCATCAGAAAATATTTTTAGTGTTCGACTAGTTAAAATAACTAAAAGAAAGGAAATAAAGAGTGAGTTGGAGATGCTCTTATTTATCATTAATCAGACATAAACAGTCATTTTGGCTCCAAGTAAACTTGTTAACAGATCGAATTCAAATCAAAATTCAAACATCCCAATTCCATTTATAATCAAACATCCGGTCCGATTACTAGATCCAATTTGATCTATAATGATATTCCATCATAATTTCAACAAATAACTACACCTCACAAAAAATGCTCAATTACACCAATTATGCACTTACTATTTCGGAGTCTTTTGTATTCCTCAAGCATTTCCTCTTTTAACATATCTTGTCGATACTTAACCAATTATGTCAATAATTGTATGATTTTTTTCAATCAAAGACACTTGGATTGTGAATTTAGCATTCATCATCCAAACAAAAGTGTTGTGTTCAACAAGGATCCTATGTGACTCTTGATATGTACTTTTAATCAACCTTTTTAAATTGTCGTGGCGAAGGACCTCAAACTCAAAGACCTTCAATGCTTTCTTTATCTTTACGTGTAAGACACATTTTCCCTTAGGTCTCTATGCAATGCCGATCATGATTATTGAAGCAAAACTCCACTTAATTAAGCTTTCCTTGCTTATCCATTAAAGGGCATACATATTGTTACATTTCAATTATGAGTTTCTTCTCGACGCCATCGTCTATTATTAGGGACAAAGTACCGTCTCGATTAAGAAAAATATTAAATAGACTTAAAATTTTAATTTAAATTCTTGACTTAATGAATTATTACTATTAAATGGGTAAATAAGTCCCAATAAATACTAAAATTCGTAATTAAATTAATAACAAATATAAAAATCACACCATCAAATTAAATTTTTAAGTCAAATTTTTAAATATGTATAACGCTGCTCCTCGACTAATAATCTTAATGTAAACTAGGAATATGCAGTCACCCGCATTCGATACGAGTAGTCCTAATGTAAATTTGGCACAAACCATGCATTAGATTATATAACGTCTCTTACTAGACTTGAACTGTCACTGGCTTCTACACCATTTTTACTCGACAAGTAGACGCTGGGCAGCAAATTCCCTACTCTAAATTCTGCACACAAAGGAGGGGAGGGAGAAGGAAAAAAAAAGGGTAGTGGAGAGAGAAGGAGGGAAGGTAGTTGAAGATAGAAATAAATACAAGGTGAAAGTTGGAAGAAACAGAAGAGAATATATTAGCTGTTGTTAATTACATACAAAAGATAGAGCAAGTAATTGATTTCTAACAACTCCAACTACTCAAAATAAATACATAACCACCCCATAAAAAAAAGGTACCAAAAAGACCTAAAACAAATAGTAAGAACTCCCTATCCTTCAACCACTCCACACCCTTTTTCCATCTTCAACCAATCCTTAGTCCTTACCCTCCATGCCTTTGTCTTCAGTATCCAGTTGGGAACTCACACTTCCCAAATTCTGCATAGACAAATAAGTTTCTTTTAGACGCAAATAAAAAAAAAAAAAAAAGGAAATAAAGGAAAGAGTCAAGAAGTCGCACACAAAATCTGACTAAAAACAAAAGTCACCCCACAAAAGAAAAAGTGGTTTTCTTTCAACAATTTTTCCATTATCCACCAGCAAAACTCATATTTTACCCTTTCCAATAAGATATTTGGATGGATATCCAACAATTTTTTAGAAATGTCATTTTTTTACCCTTCACAAATACTCTCAATCATGCGTTCTTTAGACTCATGAAATAAACAACGAACGACGTAGCTGACATTAAATTATGTAAGCTACGCACATTGGACATTATCTAATTTTTTTCTTGCTGATATGGGTGAAAATCGAGCCAAACTTCTAGAGCTTTTGGTAGTTGGTTTGGGTTGAGCTCGATTGTTTTGTTTGGATTCTTGTTTAAAGTCGGTCGATTTATTTTATTTTTTTTGTACTTACAAGTCTGAGTTCGAGCAAAAAGTTTAGTCTACTCCTAATTTGTTAATCCCACTGTTAACAAATTAGGAGTGGAAAAAATAAAACATTGGCCAATTTGACTCTACTTCATCTAAAACAGGTCCATACAGTGAAACGTGGTCTTCTCTGACCTGGCGTGCACCAACTTTTCGGTCTCTCTAGACCTGCAGTGCATTTCACTTTGGACCCATAGGATTCCGGCGCACCTTAGCAACCAACTACATTATTTGCTAACATGCGCCTAGGAATCTATGTTTAGCAAATCAAGAACTGAATAAAGTTGTAACATGCGCCCAATTACAAATAAAAAAAACTAGAGCAGGGATAGGATACGTACTAGGCGGCTGAGTGACGATGTACGCGGCCCCACCAAAATAGCAGGTGCCAATCGCACGTGCTTTCTTCTGATAATAGCTGTTGAACGCGAACGAAGCGTGAGCCTCGATTGTGTTAGGATTGTAACACGTGGACCCTGGTTGGATCGGATGGCAATCAGCCCCACCCTCACCACAAGCATAATCTAGTGCCGCTTGCAGCTTAGTCTTTCCCGCATCCCCACTAGCCACACACCATGTCTGTCCCGAGACACTCGTCGACACATTCCCTCCACCGTTGACCGGCGGGGACACCCTTTGACCACCCACCGGAGACGGCTTGTCCCGGTAGTTCTTCAATCCCTCCACTGTAAATGGTATATCATAAACCTTCTCTTCACTAGGGTAGAAGAGACCGTAGTTTCTCTCCGAAGTGGGCCCATTTTTCTCGTTCTCGTTGAAGAGAGCGAAGAGATAAACGGTCAGATCTGCTTTGGGCCTTAATGGGGTCCCACCGCCGTTGAGCACCCGTCGGACCAAGTTGCCGTTATACGCAGCGGCGTTCTCTAAACTGGCTCCGACTTCATTCTCATCACCCTTTGACGGCCAACCAGTCTCCGTTATGACAATGTTGATATCATCGTACTTCAAAGCCGACATTGCCGCGAAAACGGCGTCGATTTGAGCATCAAACAGACTGAAATAACGTAAGCCGTTGCCGGAGTCGACGACGCCTGGGTTTTCACGAAACAGAGCATAGTCCAGAGAGATAACGTCGGCGTTGGATTCGTATGCGAAAAACGGGTAGGCATTGACCATGAGGTACGATCCGGTTTGTCGAAGAAAATCTAGCATTGGTTGGAAAACAGGTTCGAGGAGTTCGGGTCGGAAGGATCCGGATGAGGATGGGTAAGAATTTTGGAGGGCGCTGAGAGCTATAGGTGAAGAGACTTTAATAGTGTTGTGGAGGTTGTACTTGACCAGAGCTTGATGTATGTTTTTCATGGCGGGTAGGAGGAACGTTGTGGTGTTGTGTGGGTCGACGAAGACTTCGTTGCCGACGGCAATGGCTTCGATTTGGGTTGAGGGGTGGTAAACGGCGACGTTTCGCTGGACCCATACGTTGGCGAAGGACTGGCGTTTGGCTGCAGAGAAAAGAAGTTTGTTGGGGAGATCGACGGTGACTTTGATTCCACATCCGGATAGGGCTCTGAGGACAGACGGGTCAGTATCGTAGACCTTGACCCGGTTTAGACCTTGAGATTTCAGAAGCTGAACTACTTTCACTGCTGATGGTAGGTTGTTCGCTATTCGCCCATAGTTCACTCCAATGGAACCTCCATCTGAAAATGCAGCACCTGAGAACACCCAGATAATTATTCTTAGATATCTTATTATCTTAACATTCATTATATAAAATGGTGCGTGTGTGTGTGTGTGTGTGAGAGAGAGAGAGAGAGAGAGAGAGAGGGAGAGGTGTTTTTACCTGCAAATGATAGGATGCAAAGGAGGAAGAGGAATAGAGAAATGGTGAAGCGTTCCATGCTCTCTGTTTCAGGAGAAGCAGAGTAGGAGAGAGAGGAGAGGAGGCTTTTGCTCTGCTTCTAAATTGCAATTTGCAATGGAGTACTTATGAGAGAGTAGGAAAGCGGAGAGACCCGGAGGGTGTTTTATGGAGGAAAGAGAGAGGGGTTGAGAGGATCGAGATGGTGGGGGTGTGGGACCTACGTGTCAGTTCTGGCTAGAAGTCGATGACCATTTTCAGGTACAGTACTCCACGTGGCCCCAGAATTTGCGGGTCCCACCAATCCGACCGTTTTCTATAAGGAGAAAAAAGATTAATTACTTTCACTGATCCTTACAAATATTTCACATCTACACAGTGCTCCGCAACGCAAGTCCATCATCTCTAGTGTATGTGCTCTGATTGGGCCAGGCATTGAGGTTTAGTGGATATGGTGGTGGTGCGTCGTAGTGCATATATCAGAAGTTACTGTTTTTTATTTTAATGGTGGGTGGAGACTTTCTGATTGTTGATTAAAATGGCCCCAGCAGGTGAAATAATAATATGTTTTCCGTTGAGGCATTTAGTCGAACGTTGAGGATACGATAGTCAAATGAATGACAGGATGTGCTTTAGCTTGGCTGTCTGATAATAATGTGAGAGTAAAACACACGTAAAACAGGTAAAATGGTAACGCGGTTAATGCCTGACTTAACAGGGACATGGTATGGGGTGTCAGTGAACAATTGATGTCAACTATGCACCATATCTGAGCTGTTTGTGTCGTCGCTTTGCACAAGAGAGGTAGAGGTTTAGTGGGTTACTGTGGTAGATGCTGTCCATAGATTAAAATATCTAGATTTTGTGAAATTTATTATTTAATTATTTAAATTTTTTAATATTTAAAATATTATTTATAGGCTTATGAGATTTGTATATACCTAATATTTAAATTCTACCATCTACGTTAATATATTTTTTAGTAAATTATATTTACACTTTTTTAAGTTTATAGACATATAATATTTAAACTTCTCAAGTTTTAATATTACACTTAGATAAAAAATACTCTAATCAAATATAGAATATCAAATATTTTAAATTTTAAATTTTACAATCAAAATTCATGTTTTATTGTGTCATTTATTGAAATAAATTTAAAATTTAATTTTTTTTTTTCTTAAAAATTATATTCAGTATACAGTTATACTATTTATTTGAATAAAACTAAAAAACCTAACAAGAGATCAAGCGACAATTGACACAATATCTTTTATCTTTAATTAGGGTAATTTGATCGTTTAATAGGCTTCATAGTTCTGTAATTAATAAAGGTCTAAGTGTAATATTTTAAATTTAAGGGATCCAAGTGTTTTATACTTATAAACTTTAGGGGTCTAAATATAATTTACTTACGAATATACTACTAGAAATTGATGACAGAAGTCTAAATATTACGCTCGTACAAACTTTAGGAGGTTTATATGTAATATTTTAAATGTCAAGAGATCTAAGTGATTAAGCGACAAATATCAAGAGTCTGAGTGTAATTCTTCCTAAATTAAATTACTATCTACGATTTTATTGTGTGTACTCGAGATAGAAATTTTGTATAAATATATCATTATACTATTAAATATTTTTATTTAAGTTTTTTCTTAAGAGGTCGAATAGAATAATCCGGTTAAAACACAATGACCATATGTCTGAAATGCATTGTATGTTTCATAATATGTCTCATTCTTCTAAAATTAATTTATAATCGTAAATTTTAGTTTGAATAATTAATAAAAATAATAAAATTTACATAATTAATATTTCATTGGATTAAAATGGGAAGTATGGTATCAAAGGGGGACATTTCGATTCGGTAGTGGGACTCTAAAATCTATTGCTTCTTATCTACGTTGTATACACCAAATGAAAGGTCTCAACGGTCTATTAGTTGTTGTTAAGGAAATTAATGATACCTGTAATAATACCTTGATTAAGGGATGTCTGCCACGCTTTAAATTTATAAATTGCCGTGAACTAACTATTAATCATTAAAATTATGAAAGCAAACCTAAAAGAAATTATAAGTGGTTTCCTAAAGATTGCATCCAAAACTTGAAATAAAAATTAAACAGTCTCCTTCTGTTTAACAAATTACTATAAATAATTTTTTCTTCCAAACCAACAGAACTCTAAATCACAAATCGATAAATAACACTTTAAGCCTCCTAAGTCGAATCCACCTCTATATCCGCTTCAAGGTTCAAGTTCACATAGTCACTTAAGGCTAAATTCTCTTCGATGCCAAAATCTACAAAATGTTAAAAAAGAGGTGAGCAAAATAGTCTAGTAGAAAAACTTTCTAAAACTTAGACAAAGTTTTCAAAACTGTATAAAAAACAGGTCAGTCTCAATTTATAAAATAAAATATATAACTTTTGAAGTAAAAAGTAGTGACAATTAATAACGATCTCTAGTTTACACCAATTAAACGATGCAGTTGTAAAAGATAAGTCTCATTCAAAAAATCATAAACCATCATAATAATATTTTATGTACGTAGGTTGATAGCATGAATCTATAGTACACTGAATATATTTAGTCCACTCACCACAAACACAAATCATTCAATCAATCTCCGCAAGACTACAACATTTTAAAAAGGGTATATACCGACATATCAATATTAACAAATTTTTCTTAAGAATAGTATACTAGCCTTTTATCTCAAATCTACGATAATAAATAGTTATTTAGCACCTCACAAAGAACCAAAGCCCACTGTGATGATAAAAAACCATCAAATCCCTCAAAGTAGAAAAGCTTCTAATATTTTTAGATATGAATTTGAATGTAATCCACGTTCATCATACCTACCCATATAAGAGATAATGAAGGGATCGATAAATGCTGATCATCATCTGACAATTAGACTTGAACACGTGGCACGTTACATGTGCTGAAAAGAGTTATTTACAATGACTACTATAACCGAGAAAGTTGCTAGGCTATTCGGACCAAGCTAAAGTTGGTCCAGTCGAGCAAAGCAAGTAGCTAGATTATCTAGGTCGACCAGAACAAGTAGCTAGGTTATTTGGCTGAGCAGAGCAAGTAACTAAGCTATTCGGGCCAAGTAGAGCAAGTAGCAAGGCTATTCGGGCCGAGCAGAGCAAAAAGCTAGGTTATCCAGGCCTACTAGAGCAAATAGCTAGGCTATTCGGTTGAGCAAGACAAGTAGCCAAGCTATCCGAGCTGAACAGAGCAAGTAGCTAGGCTATCCGGGCCGAACAGAGTAAATAGCTAGACTATCCGGGCCAAGCAGAGCAAGTAGCTAGGCTATCCCAATCGAGCTAAAATTGGTCTGACCTAGTAGAGGATAAAACTCGACCGAACAAACAACTATGTTATCCCGGCCGAGCAGAGGATGAGATCCGACCAAGTTGTCATCAAATAGCAACTGAACCGATCAGAAAGCTTGGAAAGGAAGTAATGAGCTCGGTCCTCGTCACGACCGAACTGTTTAAAACAGTAACGTGGTGCTAAAAAGATGTCTACAATTCAGACATTCTAGTTAAACGAATAGGCTTAGTAGAAGGAATTGCGCGGGAAAGATCTTAGCAACTTCCTGAATAGAATCACCTGATTAGGGGAAGATGTACCACCTTAAATCAAAAATCATGGAAACCCTAACTGAAAAAAGACTCTATAAAAGCATAAGGAGCCAAAGTGAAAGATACGCTGAACTTTCTTTATTTTCTTACAGTTGTCTTAGTTCTATTACTGATTTAAGCATTGGAGTGTCTTCGATCGAAGCACTTCGATCTTGGACAATTTATTCCTTTTGCAGGAAGCAAATACTAGGAGATCAAGTTCAAAACTCACTCTTATCAGAAACGTTCAATCTTTATTCTTGTAGGAGGTATCCTTAATTTTTACCCCTTATAGATAATTATATATTTTTCATAAAATTCACATAAACCACAATTTGTCATTTCACAATTTTCAAAAGGACGAGTAATCCAATCAAAACATGCAAGATATCATAAAAAGATATATCAAACTTGATCATAATCAAGATATAGTAATTTCATTAAAAACATGTGATTTTTGGATGCAAATTATATAATTTCTCCACAGAACAAACCATTTAGTTGAAAAGACTAAAGTAATTATAAAAATATCATATATATAATAAAGTAAAACGAAGTTTGAATCCAAAAGATAAAGAGAGGTCCAGATCGTTTTGAAACAAAACATAAACATATCCAACAGACAACATAATTCCAACATAAAAGACAGTTCAAATTGATTCAGTATTATTGATCCGACGATCCTAATTAATCTACATTCCAACAATACTCAACTACATTCTTTTATCTCTCCTCATCTCCATTCAAAATATTGAAGAGATTGACTAAGACTCTACTACATTTTTTTTTATCTCTCATTATCCCCATTTAAACTATTGGAGAGTTTGACTTAGACAGTTGTATATTTATATATATCTATCTACGCTAACAATATAGAGGCAATTTTAAATTTTCAAAATTAAAATTAAGACTCTCAATTTAAAAAAAGAGAGAAAGAAGAAACAACTAAGATTTAATTGAAATTTAAATATACGATTTAGATATCATCAAAATTTATCTAATCTAATCCTACCCAAATATTATATATATATAAAAAAAATAAACTAATTATCACCAATGTAAAAAGTGAAGCTAATTTTCATTTTTATAATTAAAAAATGTCAATTATTCACTAACAATCTATTAAATTTATTCAATAAACGATGTTTTAAACATTATCACTAAAATATTAGTATAATAAAACTATTAAACTAAAATCTAAGAGACATAGTAAAAAAATTAAAAATCAATTGGCACATAATAAAGACTATAATCAATACTCGAATAAAAACAAAGATAGTTTTTCATAGAAAAAATAAAATCAAATGAAGATCAATTGAAGGCACTTTCACTTGCAAAAAATTATATATATATATATATATATATATATATATATATATATATATATATATATATATATATCATATTTTTTTATAAAAAATTGTGGATGGGCCCGTGTCCACCCTCGCCCCTTGTAGCTCCGTCAAAGGGATTTAGATCCCCTCCATTACCCCTTCCATCTAATTTCCCTCAATGGTCTATCCAATAAGCGATATCTCAAAAAAAAAAA